AGAAAGAGAAACAATGCTGCTGGTGGAAATTTGCTCCTACCGTATAGCTACTTACATGCCAGCACGTGATCTTATATGTAGAATTTCGTTAACAGAGTTGACGGAGTTACGTGGAGTAAACGAGAATGAAACAATTTTCAAAGGTAATAGATAAGCTTAAAAAAAATAAAGTATTTAAATTAAAATAAAAAAATAATAATTAATAGATGATTTATAAAACTAAGTCGGTTTTCGCTGGAGTTTCTTTTTAATTAAATTGCCATGTTGTTGGCTGCTCAGCTTTTTACTGTTGTAAGGGTACTGATGTCTTTTCAGTTTTTGGGCGGGCTGGTTCTTGCATCTGGTTTCAAGCACTGTTGCGTTTTCTTTTCTTTCCATTGGTTTCTGTTTTTTCTTTGTTACCATTCTTTGTATAGAGTTTGGCCCGTTTTGAATTCAGGTTATTTTTACCGTAGTGTATTGTTGGTCTTCGATGAAGGATTTAGTTATCTATGTTTGATTTGAACTGCTTTCCCCTTTTGTATGATGAATTTAGTATTACTTTTTCGGTTTGGTAATGAGTTTTCAGACATGAATATTGCCTCATTTAATGTTGTGTTTGGTAATCTTTTCCTTGCCATGACAATTAATATTTTTTAAAGGGATGTCACTTCTCTTTTTGGGTTTTGGGTACTGTTTAGTGTGTTAGATTGTGTTTTGGACTCGGTTCTTTCCCCTGTTCTAAGGGAATCCTGCTGACTCTACCTTTTTTCCCTGTTTTTTAGGCTTTTCCGTATTGGGTTTATTCATTTTTATGTTCTTTTCTGTTGTTTAGTTTCTGTTTTTCAGAGTTCTTTCTAATTCTGCTTTATTCTTTTGCACATAGTTATTCTGTTGGTTCTCTACCCTTTTAACCTCAATATCTAACGTTTTCCTTTATTTGGTTATTTCTGCTGTTATTCTATTCGTTAATGCTGTTGTCATCTTGGACGGTTACTCTTACAATCTCTCTTTTGTTCTTTTTTTCATGATTCTTTACTCTATTTTTCATATGCATTGTTCTTAACTCTGTATCTTAAACGCTCCTTCTTGATCATGTATTGGTGTTGTGTTTGCGTTGCTTAGGGTGTTTTGAAGGCCATTGATTACATTGATTGTCTTGCTGTTGTCCTGGTGTTGTTCGAGAGATGGTGTCTCACGCACGTAAAACTCCTTTATCTCCGACTGAATCGGGATGGCAATGTTGGAAATTTAAACACAGTGTTTATACACCCTGAAGGTCTGTCTTTGTTTCATCCTGTTATTTCACCGTTGTTTTACTTAGGCTGGTCAGATCCAGTTGCTTTTTTCCGTGCTATTTTATTTTTATTTTTATTTTTGGTTGTGTATTGATGAAGGCTCTTTTTTTGACTTCTTTTTTCCTGTTAATGCAGCTCCTTATTACTTCTTAGAGCATGTCTGTACGTTTCAT